TTAGGCAGGGCCAGTCACGGTGGGTTTTCCCGTTCAATCTGGCCCTCCCCTCTCGCAGAGGAGAACCGAGGGAGGTATTTCAGTCTTACCAAGTTAGTTGAAATCTCCTAGGAAGAATTGTATGTGGTGTGCATATATGTGTGTGTAGAGAGAAAGGGAGCATGTGTGTGAGCAGAGATATAGCTAGAGACACAGACTTACCATCTATATAGTATGTGTGTGTGTGTGTGTGTGTTCTGTGTAGAGAGAAAGGGAGCCTGTGTGTGAGCAGAGATATAGCTAGAGGCACAGAGTTACCATCTATATTGTGTATGATACATTGAAAGGTTGTGCCCCCCCCATCATGGATGCTCAAATTGTGTCAGTCTCGTGGATTATGAAGTGAATGATGTAGATGATTCACCTGTATCTGTGCATTCCTATACAGTATACCTTTTTCCACACACGTCTCACCGATATGTGTATATCTTGTGACATACTGTGGGTTTCTCCTGAGGTATGTTAACCTGAGTATGACATGTGGCAGAAAATGGAGTGAGATCCATGCTTTTCTTTTTTTAAAATCTTTCTCTCACACTTTCTGGGCATGTAACTTTTAATAACCACTTCTACCACCCATTTGGGAATTCTCCCATTGCGTGTTAGCATGATTCAGAGGTAAATGGTAGGTTTCCATAGGTGACTTGGAAATTCTCTTAAACCAGTGTTCTCTGTGTAAGTTGGATGACAGATTCCATCGCCCCTTGGCGATGCTTGCTGGGGATGATGGGGGATGAAGTCCAACCCATGCAGAGGGCCCTAGACTCTCTATAGCACGATGGCAAGTCATACTAAAATTGAACCCTTCGGAACTCTTACCCTGCAAGGAGCTTGCTTGCTTGCTTGCTTTCCAACTTAGGCAGACTCTGTCTCTTCCCATACTTTGGACTGAAAGCAACTGTGTGTCTTTCATTTGACACTTGCCAGGAGAAAAGATCTGGGGTGGTTGTTGGTTTTTTTCCCCCTCCCTTTTCCAGATCTTCAGGGCTCTGCAGCACTGTACTAGGGCATTTGCTCAATTTCCTTTTGTACTTGGTTTCTATAGAAACATAGGGTTTCAGTTATTCTGCTGTGCCTAAAACAATAAAAGCCCTAATGCATATTAAGTCTGCTGAATGCAAAGTTATAACTTGAATCCATGGAAACATGTCATTAGGAGGACAGAGAGGCATGGGTTGCAGGGAGCAGAATCTTATCAAATATTTTTTTTTCATTCCTGGCAAAGAAATGAGCACGAGAAGAGGACAGTGGCAAGAGATTATGCTTAAGATCGGAGTTCCCATATGGGATTTTGGAGGCCTGCCATTCTCAGAATTCCCCCAATTGGCATAAGTAGTGACTGTGCCGGCTGTGAATTCCGGGACTTTAGTGCAAGAAGCAGAAGGAAGAAGTCTGGATGTTCAATTCCCTTCCCCCAGCTTAAAATTCTCATGGTTCTTGCAGTGTAGCTTCACACTCTACCACTTCTGTTTGATTAAGCAAGGAACGGATGGGCCTTTCCGAATGATGCATGACCCGAGTAGAAAGTCAGCTGAGAGGGATAATGATAATATTCATTCATACATCAGAAACCATCTTCAGACATCTAGTCAGGTGGCTACTGGATGAAAATTGGCAAAGAGGCGTATTGAAATGTTTTGGTGTTCTTTTGTGCACAAACCAGGGATGGACAGAGGGTGTCTGCCAGGTTTTATTGGGTTATGGCTCCCACCAGCTGTGACCCACATGGTTTTGGAATGACGGGCATTGCAGTCCAATGCCATCTGGAGGAGACCCAAGCCTTTAAATATTGTGTTCCCCAGATCTTCTCTGACACTTTTCACTGAGATCAAAGAGGCAACCCGGCCCTCTCCAGACAGTCTACAGCCATGACGCATGCCAACCGGCGTACCGAGTGCTTTAGCACAATTTTATAAGCAGCCTTGAGACCCAGTTCTGGGAGAAAAGCAGAACATAAATGCAATAAATAAATAAATATCGGAATTGCAGGCGAGCACCAAGCTTCCTGTCCCTGCATTGCTATGCTGCATCAACTGTCCACAGAAGCTTAACTGCTGGTGTGCACTTTGCTTCGGCAAGATAAGGAATCCTGTCAGCGTGTTATTAGTGTGTTGAGCCAGGAAGGTGGGGAACCTGTTACATTTTGGCCAGGGGATAGAGAAGAGGGCCAGTCTTATCTTCTGTTAGTTTCCATATAAAATGTTAAACCTTTCCAGCATGTGATACATGAATGAAGGTAAATTCCTCCAAATGAATGGAAATTTCCCAAGTTTTGCTAGCCATATTCAACTGGTTTAGCTAGCATGGAGCAAACACCTGTATGGCGTCTACCTGCCGTAACTGTGGGTTGAAGGTGAGGAGTGTCATAGAAAAAAAGAGGTGCCGACCGAACTTTGGTGTCAACATAATTGAATTCAGAGTTGGCAAAGTTTGATTATTAAAGCACTCACTTCACCTATCATGGCTTGATCCTAAGAAATTATGGGGTTTGTGGTTTGATGTGATACCTAAAGCCTACAGCCTCACATCCTTCCATATCTGGTGTTTTCACTTTCCTGAATGTGGAAGCTAAATAGTGTGGGAAATCCCACTTATGCCTACAGCCTCTCCCAATGAGTCAAGAGTCCCCTGGTTCTCTAGGGTGTGGATTAACTTTGAGAGTCTGAGTGGAGAGCAGAGGCTCTCCCCTTTCAGGCTTGTTACAGATAGGTGACGTTGGGCTTAGACACTCCCCTGTAGACATGAGACCATGACGTGCTTTCTAGAACTCGAAAAGAACTTGAGAATTCTCAGCTAGAGAGCTCCTAAGGTACTCTATGCTATAGCAGAAAAACCAAGTGCCCCCCCAAGAATTACAGACCCCAAGATCCCTTCTTCATCTGTATTTTTTAAAAAACTACAGACCCCCAAGATATATTGGTGATCCTTACGTTGGCTAAAATGGCATTTAACTACTAACTCTATCAAACCAATGTAATTCTATATGCAGATATACCTATAGTAAACTTAGCAGTCTATATTTAACCACATGGATGGAAGCTGGCAGGTTTTACTGGAAAATATTCCCATGTTCAGTTTTTCCATGGAAAAATACGTGTTTCTTTTTTTAAAAAAATTGTTTCATGAAATTTATTGATACCGATTAACGGATGTCAGTATCATTCTAGGCAAATTGGCAGTTTCAAAGTTGTCTTGTCTAAAAAAAAGAGGTCATTCTTAATATAATAATTGTGAGCTGTCAAGTCATTTCTGACTCCTGGCAACCCTATTCTGGGTTTTCTAGATGGAGAATACTCAGGTTTACTATTCCTTTCTTCTGGGGGGCGCCTTGGGACTGTGCAGTTTGCCCAAGGTCACACAGGCTGGCGCCTCTGGAATGCACGGTGGGGGAATTTGCAGCCGGATAGCTGACTCACTGAGCTGTCCAGCCAGTTCTTATGTTCTTAAACAAGACTTAAATCGGAGCTCTCATAAGGTCAGTTGAGATTAGTGTTTTTTAGAGGATTACCCAAGGACGTATCTGTGATAGCATGGGTATGTTTTTACTGGGTTGTAAATGCGGACAGGGTGGGGGAGGTTAAAATGTTGGTTGTGCAGATAAAAACCAGAGGAGTAACAAAAAAGCAAAACTACCTCTAGGATTGCACTCTCATCCTGAGGAGAGGTCCATCGTGGTCTGGCGGGCAAGTATGGGAAAGAGTCAAGTTGCAGGACTCACTATTAGGTCAGACTTAAGTCACACTCAACTCAAGTTTAAAAAGAAAAATGACTTGGACACAACTCGGAGCCCACCTAGCCCTCATTTCTGGAGGAAAAAGTTTGTTTTGTTTCATAGGGACTTGGGGCTTGATACCAAAGAATCAATCTTGGGACTTGGACCCAATGACTGGCCAACATCCCTACAGGCAAGAACAAAGCCTTCATCAGAGCCTTCCCCCACCCCAAGCCTGCCCCAACACAGCACTGACTTGTGCAGTACGGGTGGCTCACCATCAAAGGAGAGAAATTGCATCATTATAAAAGGTGATTTGCATAAAACGATCATAAACGAACCCATGTGGAGATATGCAAATTTTAAAAATTACTAGAATTTAAATAAGATTAAATTCCAGATCTCATCAGAGCAGGGGAGACTGCAATGGGGCAACCCGTTCCCTGCATTGCAATCTGCCCTCACAAGCACATTTTAGGCAGCTGGTCTTCCATCTTCTTTTGAGATCCTTTGCTCTTAAACTGGACTTCAGCTGGGCAGCCCTTCCAACAGAAGGCGTTCTCCAAGAGAGGACAGTCTCCTGTAAAGTAGGACACACAGCTAACATATATACAATGGTCAAAATATTGGCAGGTGTTTAATTTCCTCATCGGCTCCTTCTGCAAATACTGGAATGCTTGTAAAACGAAGCATTTGCAATGCGAGCCACTGTAAGCCAGAGGTCCCTTTGATTGCCTGGTAATATGTGATAGATGAAGCTTGAAATCACCTTGAGTGCTTTGGCTGAAATATGGTATATAAACAATGGTGACATTTCTTAGCCACTTTTATCGGAGATTCATAGTCCAAATATGGGGGAAGAGGGAATCTTTACCCCATAGTATTGGGTTTGAGTCTCTTCACCAGGCCAACTTCCAAGGTTGGCAATCAGTATTCAAGAAGTATCAACCAAATGTCGGAGAGACATTTAGGCTCAAACAAATTAAAAGTGAAACGGTTAAAATAAAACACACTTCAAATAAGCAAAAGTTTTGGTTCCATGAAACCTTTTGAGAAGATGTAGTACATGAATGTACAGAGTGAGCATTTGGCGGTGGGAGAGATGTGTTTCTATATGTGCAGAACACATAGTCCAGCGGTCTGGATTTAATTTTTGGCCTTCTGGCTTGTTTAGTTGTATTAACCACATTTGTATACATTGTCTCCTCTCTTTTTTGGCTTTCTTTTGTGAACATGGACTATGCTAGCAAACAGGGTGCATTGTGACAAAGTTGGCAGAAACATGAGACAGGGCTTTTTCAGTGAGTGCTCCCTATTCATGGAGCTTCTTCCCTAAATACCTTTTTTTAAAACTTACATGAGGCAGGCACCAAAATTCTGGTTTTGATCTGTCTGCTGCATTAGTTTAAATAATAATCTTAGAACTGCAGAGCTGGAAGGGGCCCTACGGATTATCCAGTCCCTCTCGAGGAGGCCCGGGCGGGGGGGATTTAACTCCCAACCCAGAGGCCTAAACCACTGAGCTATCCAGCAATTTAACATGCACAGCCAGTGCCTAGAGCAAGGATGGGCAGAGGCCTAAATCACTGAGCTATCCAGCAATTAACATGCACAGCCAGTGCATAGAGCAAGGATACATGGAAACTTAGTTTAATTCATTTTTTTTAGAGCACAGCTTTTCAAAATTCACAAACATCTTCGTCAGTTTAATAATAAAGTGACATTTAAAATATTGGAATGTGGAGAACGCAGAACTGACAGATTGACCCATCTAGGCAGATAACGTTGAATGTGTCTCTCTCAAAAAGTCTGTTTTTTGTATCTTGGTGTTCTTTTTTCCTGGCACATCTTTAAGAGCTACAAGGGACAACATCACCACCTTATTGATAAAGCTCTCCTTACTGAATGTTACTGGTGCAAGTGGCCAAAGATTTCGTTCCACTTGTTTCTGATAGGAGCTTATGAAACTTCAAATATCTGTTCATAAGCAGTATAGAATAACCATGAGTGTTTAAAAAAAACTGAAAGGAGACATTAAAACAGATGTATCGGTCACTCCTAGTGTAGAAATGAACAGAGTTTAAAGATGATCGAGTGATGATCCCTTCAAAAACTTGGTTCAGGGACTGATTTCTGTAAACACTTATCTCACTGAACACACAGCCACTCTGGATTGAACAGTTCTGAAAAGACTGTCTTGATCGCGTTTTTAAAAAAGCATTTATTTATTTATTTTAAAAATCCACATTTTATGGATCTGTCCAGAATTTCATGCAAGTCATGTTAGACTTACAGGTTGTATCCGAGTTTTAGAGAAGACCCATTCAGTCAATGGGGCTTAGATCAGTGTTGATTTTAAAACCACATTCATACCTAGGATCTGCTCTACCTTAAATCTGCCTGTCCTGCTGTGTGCATATCAAGTTTCGTACCAAGTCTAACATCATCAGCCAGAAGCCTGTTGGCTGTTCATACCAGAGTAAGTACAAGGGTGTAAATCAGAGCAGCAAATTGCCACTTGTTGATTTTCCATCACACAAGCTAGACAATCAATGCACTGTGAGGAATAAAGGTGCTGACTTATTAAATAGCAACAATTATGCTGCTGTCGTTGCACTTAATATTTTATGTGCCGTCAAGTGAGACTCATCTTATAGCAACCCTAACTGGACGATCAAGTGAGATACTTAAGGAGCGATTTTACCAGATCCACATCCTCAGTGGGTTTCCATGGCTGGCGATTCGAACCCTGGTCTCCAGAGTCGTAGTCTCTGTCCATTACACCACACTACGTACCTGCCATAACACTTACCCTGGAGTAAATGACCCGTAGGATTCTTACCACTGAGCCTGGTAGATTTCTATGTATCTTGTTATGCAGGTCTATTAATAAAGAGTTTAAAATGCAAAAATCCTTTTCATGATGCAGAGATCATACTCACCAAGGCGCTGGATGCTGACTGTCTCACCAAAAATGCAGTTGGGTTAGCAGTGAATGCTTGTAAAGGGGGATGTGTAAATGTGCACACCCTGAGTATAAAGTGTGACTCAGCAACTGCTGGCCGATCTCTTCAGCTGAAAGCTGCTATGGAAATACAAAGCACGGTAGAAGTCTTTATTAAGGTTTTTTTTTCCCTCTCTCTTCTCTCCTTCTCTTGCAGTGGATGTGGTTCGATGTTTAAACAATGCCCTCCAGGTGGGCTGTGGGGCATTCGCCTGCCTGGAGAACTCCACCTGCGACACAGGCGGCATGTATGATATCTGTAAATCCTTTCTCTACAGCGCTGCTAAATTTGACACTCAGGTACGTGGGATGGGACTTGCCTCCTGGTGGTTTCCTTACCCAGTGGCCCAGGAAATAGCTGTGACTCACGGGGAGGGCCTCTGATTTGTTTATCAAAAAAAAAAATCCAGGTATAGACTCCAGGTGGGACTGCAAAGAGCTCCTCCAGGACAAAACTACACAGATCCTTCTCTTGACTGATTATAAGACCAATTTCTAAGACCCATTTTACCACCACAGATCCTTCTCTTGACTGATTATAAGATCAATTTCTATGTAGATGGAGGGCATTCAATGGATGGAACAGCCCAAACTGAGAACACTCTTTCTCCACCGGTATCCATTTTACCATTGGGCTGTACACAGAGAAGTCTCTCCAAGGGTGGGCTTTAGGAATTGAGGAGAAACACATTCAAAGTGCTTGAAAACATTGTTCAGAATTAGAGACAGACGCGAACCAATGGTTCGCTTGTCGGCCGAACAGGTAGGTGTTCTGCACTTCCCACCCTGCCTCCTCCAGCAGGCACCCTCTCAGAGGTGGTGCCTGGAGGAGGTGGGGCAAGGAAGCCAGGGCACTGCCTCTGATTGGGCGCCCAACAGAGGAGGCAGGGTGCAAAGTGCCAAACACCTGTTCAGCTAATAACCCAACAGAGGAGGCAGGGTGCAAAGTGCCGAACGCCTGTTCAGCTAATAAACGAACCGGTATGAACCACCGAACCAGCAGTTTGTGCCCATGTCTATTCAGAATCCTATTATATTCTGATGCAGACATAATTTAAATGGTCTAAATTTTGGGGGCAAACCCCTGCTAATTTAAAAATTGGTGCTTCCCCGCCTACCCACCTCTCCCCCCCCCCTCCGTTCTCTTGACTGCTGTATTATGGCACTTGATACAAACACGGATGTCTTTTTAAAAAAATGTTTTATTGGATTAATAAGCTACAAAACATATAGCAAAGACACCAGCAAAAAAAAAAAAAACCCTCCTGCTAAGCTAAACCCTCCCCCCTTTGGAGTCAGAGACTCCAGCTTCCTTTGACTCTCTGTTCTCTGCTGCTGACAATTTGGACTTGCAAGTAATGCTTGCTAGAATAAATAGCAGGATTTTGACCAATATTTTGTTGCAGACTTCTGAATTTTGGTTAAATTCCCCTAGCTGTGCAGCAGAAGTGCAGGGAGACACCACCCCTTCCTCTCATTAAGTGGCATTCACAATCTCAATAACTGAGACATTAGTAGGAGAAAGAATAAAAACACTTCTTTACTTACAGTTGAACAGATCAAACCTCAGACTGAGAAAAAACATGACTGCTTGCAGCAACAGTGTCTCCCCTTGTTTTCCTAAAGCAGGGTCATGTTAAAGTCTGAAGCTTAAAGTTAAAATCCCAAGATCTCTAAGCCATTGTAGTTGAAACAGTAGATTTTTCTGGGCTGTGCGCTCTGGCAGTATAGTAGGAGTCAGGTTTGTATATTCATATTTGTAAGTGGTTGCGTCAGTCTTCTGTGCATGCTTGGCCCAGGTAGTCAAGGCAAATACAATGCCTGACTCACTTGCTATGGATGCAAATCATTTTTTTCTGCCTGATTCTGGGCGCGCTGAGTAATTCTCAAATCTTGATGGCCTAATGGGAGGGCCTGTTCATCCAAACGCCTGGCACAGCCCCAACTCAGCGGGTTGTGTGAAGAGTGAGTCTTGAGCCGTCGGTCATATGAAGAGCTGCAGGCACACCTTCCAAGAGTTACACATTTAGGGATTGGTTTTCCTCCTTTGGGTGCTAGCGTGTGAAGATGGCTAGACAATAAGCCAATCAATGAGCATATACATAAACCTAAATATAAAGCAGATCATAAAAGTATGTAATTAAAAACAATGTAGAACACAGGAGAAAATGAGCCGGAAAGCCACCCTTGTGTTCAAAGCATGAACTTTGAAACTGAAAGAGTCAAGAAAATATGGGGTAGTTTTGGGGCTGGCCCTATTCTGAGGCAATGTGAGGCAACGGGCTCAGGTAGCAGATGGTGGGAAACAGTCCCGGCCCCTCTCCCCATGCCACCCTATTTCTGCTGGGTCTCTTAGCCACTGCTTACTCTCAGAAATAATAATAACAATCATGTGCTGTCAAATAAATTCTGACTTATGGTGACCCTTCCCAGGGTTTTCTAGGTATAGAATACTCAGAAGTGGTTTACCCTTCCAGAGGGCACCTTGAGACTGTGCCACTTGCCCAAGGCCACCCAGGCTGGCTTTAATCGCAGGAAGGCACAGTGGGGAATCAAACTCCCAGCCTCTGGCTACAAAACAAGATACCTAAACCACTTTTCAGGGTTTTACAGGTATAGAATACATAGAATTGATTCACCATTCCCTTCTTCTGGGGGGGGGGTCGGTATCCTGGGACTCTGCTGCTTGCCCAAGGCTACATAGGCTGGTGCCTGGAGGAACAGTGGTGGAATCAAACTCCTGGCCTCTGGCTCCATGGCCAGGTCCCTTACTCAGAAAGCTATCCAGCCACTATAGACCTTTATGTATCGCATAACATCTCCTACATGCCCTAAATGTACCTGTTGTCCACAGCTGCACTGTGTCTACCTCTGTGTATGGAGTGGAGTGGGCACCATCTTTTATTTTGGATTAGGGACACTGAACAGTGTTGTGTTGTCTTGCCTGCTGAATAATTGATCCACTAGGTCTAGCTGAGTCAATGGGTTGTATCTGGGACTGGGACTGTGGTCTTTTCCACCTGCTGCACATGAAGATTTGGCAGAGAATGACTTGCAGGGTGGAGAAAGGTGGAGGCAGAAAGGAAATTTCCCACTCAAGAGGAAATAGATTATCTTTGTTCCCACCGCCACTCCTGTTCAGCTTGCTGGCTGTGAGCCTGGAAGAGCACAATGCTCTGATCTGGCTCAGCCAAGCCAGACCAGCCTGGTATAATGGACACCACAATGCCTATGAATTAGAAATGTTGACCTTCATGTTACCCAGAATTCAGGAAGATTAACTTTTGACAACATAACTCCCATAATCCCATAGACACCATGGGTATGCCATATGGGCTGGGTTGGTTTGTAGTCACAGAAAGTAACTTTTGCAAGATCTTGCCCTTATTTAGATTGTGGCAAAGGTTCCCCTTGGTGTTGGCAAAGTAAAGAGGCATCTGTTGGGTGCCTTTAAGGAAAGGCTGCCGGTGGTCAGTTTAGTTTCCTGCTACCTTTATAGTGGGCATAGTTTTATTACTATCGATTGATTATTAGGATTTTTCTGCTGCAAGGACCAAAATGGTTCAGCGATGGTTCAGCAATCATCACGTGCCATGAAGTCAAAAAAAAGAGGCCCTTTTCAGGGCTTTCCAGGTACAGGATACTCAGAAGTGGTTTCCCATTCTCCTGAAGGCACCCTGGGATGGCCCAGCTTGCCCAAGGCTACCCAGGCTGGCTCTTCTCCCAGGAGGCACAAGTGGGGAATCGAACTCCCAACCTCTGACTCCACGACCAGAGACCTAAAACACTGAGCTATCCAACCATCCTGTTAAAAAAAAAACCTAAACCACTGAGCTATCCAGCCATCCTGTTAAAAAAAATTCCCCCTAAGGTTTCTTTAAACTGAATGGATCAGGGAATGCCATCTTGCTTTCTTAGCTCCACTCTTGGGGTTCTGAAGTTTGGGGCTGTTTCCCCACATTGTCATGTTCTCAGGAGAAATTTCTAAAGGAAGTGTCCTTTCTAACTATTTAAAGCACTGTGGTGCAAAGAACAGACAAATGTCAGCCAAAGTTGGTCTTGGACCGGCAAGCATCTGGAATTTTGTCTCCAAGGTGCCTGATGGCTCTACTTGGGCTTGGAAGAAAATGAACTCTGCATATGCACAGAAATATTTCTCCCCAAATTTTGCCAGGATATATGCCCTACCACCACACATATTTCCCAGCACACACCCACTGTTCTATTTTTCACAGCCTGAGGTAGAAATTGCAGATTCTCCATCCTTCAGACTTTGACCAGTCCCTCTATGTTGCTTGTTACCTAAGTTGTTTCTTTGGAAACTGCATGGAGAGATGGACCCTCCTGAGCATGAACGAAGTATCCTTGTTTCGTATCCAGAAAGTAGATTACAGAAAACATCAATGCCGGTACCTATCACATTACAGGAGATTTTTTGCCATGCAGTACACAAACCAAAAAGTAAGGAAAGAAGCCTCTATGGTTCTCTAAAAGAAGAAAAGGATCCCCCACCTTTCCAGGTACAGTGGTGCCTCGCTAGACGATGATAATCCATTCCACTGAAATCGCTGTTCAGCAAAATCATTGTCTAGCGAAAAGCATTTCCCCATTGGAATGCATTGAAACCTGTTTAATGCGTTACAATGGGGAAGAATCGTCGTTGTCTAGCGAAGATCGACCATAGGAAAGCTGCTTTGCGAACTGCCGATCAGCTGTTTAAATCGCTGTCTTGCGAAACTTAGGTCCTGAAAACACCTGTTTTGCAAGCGTGGAGGAAGCTGTCAAAATCGTTGTCTAGCAAAAATCGGTTTGCGAAGCAGGGACCAAACATTGTCCAGCAAAATTCCCCTGTAGGAATCACTGTTTTGCTAATTGCTCTAGCGATCGCAAAAAGTCAATGTCTAGCGAAAAAACTGTCATGCGGGGTAACTGCCTAGCGAGGCACCACTGTACACATACATTAAAGGGAACGTTAAACCCCTGTGCACACGCCCTCACTTTGCAACATATCTTGAATTTTGGCTGCAACTTGGAAGTTGTGATTTCACTGCAGAAAGGTGACTAGGCTAACTCAAAATAGGAACATGAGAGGGTGTGGCCTGAACGTCCGTGGGCATAGGTGGCTGTCTTTCACCCTTTTCATAGCAACATAGCATTTCATAAAGATGAAGGGTCACTGACGAGGGATGTTGTGCCTGTAGAATTTTGGTCTCCCCTGTGGATGGCTCTTAAAAGTCTTGGAAGGAAAATATAGGAACAAGGAAGTGTGGGAGCCAGAAAACAAACCATAAGGCCTTGCATTGTATAGGGAAGCCCCATCGCCTCCAGTGTATTTGCTTCTTCTAAAGGGATAGTAGTAGCTGGAGTAAAACAGGAGTAAAAAGCTTGCTCAGTTTCAAAGTCACATGGGAAGTAGTTCAAAGCCTCAAAAACACACCTGTGATCCCCACCAGACTGGGAGTTCTGGACAGTAATTGCTTCGTGGTCGCCCACCAGGAGGTTAAAAGGGGGTTTTGTGGGCAGCAGAGAGGGTGGCCACAGGCCTGCGGTTGACCATCTATGTGCTAAGATTAGAATATATTCAATAATTTGGTTAGTTGACTCTTCTTACATAGCTGCACTCATTACACAGATGTCCATCATGGGGGAAGGGGGGGCAAGTGTGCTGTGCGTATCAATTAATATGGAAAGTTATTGCACAACACAGTAACACCTCTGGCAAATGGGGCTTGTAGTAAACTTTCTCACCAAATAAACTTTGTGTGTGCTGATACCTTGACAAACCCCTATTGATCATTACGCACAACTGGGCACAGGCCAACGGTGTGTAGTTGCTGTTCTTGCACTCGTGTGCTAATCCGCTTCTCGGTTGGCAGGGGAAAGCCTTCGTCAAGAAGAGCTTGAAGTGCGTCGCTAACGGGATCACTTCCAAGGTGTTCCTGGTCATTCGAAGGTGCTCGACGTTCCAGCGGATGATATCTGAGGTGCAGGAAGAATGTTATAGCAAGCTGGACATTTGCAGCATTGCTAAAAGGAATCCAGATGCCATCACTGAAGTGGTCCACCTTCCCAACCACTTCTCAAACAGGTATGATCTTTTGTACGTATCTTACAAGGCATGATGACGCTTGTTGTAGGACCCTCTGAGGGCAAGTAAATAAGGTGGGTATCATAGATAAATGGAGGGTAGATGGTTCTTTGCTTACTTTATTTACTTCGCTATTTACTTCCTGTTATATCTTGCCTTTTCCCAGGCACACAAGGTCGCTAAGAATAATATGCAAATGTTGCATAGTAAAATGGAGCTCAGTCTTCCACTGCTGGTCCTATAAGAGGCAAAACATTAGAAGGAGGAGGTGTAAACATGTCTAAGAAAAGCTCAAAAATAACAGAAAGGCAGGGTTTAGAACAGAAGTCTGAATGGGGTTGTTGTTTCTATCTTGCCTTTTCCCAGGCACACAAGGTCGCTAAGAATAATATGCAAATGTTGCATAGTAAAATGGAGCTCAGTCTTCCACTGCTGGTCCTATAAGAGGCAAAACATTAGAAGGAGGAGGTGTAAACATGTCTAAGAAAAGCTCAAAAATAACAGAAAGGCAGGGTTTAGAACAGAAGTCTGAATGGGGTTGTTGTTTCTTAGTCATTAAGTCGTGTCCGACTCTTCGTGACCCCGTGGACCAGAGCACGCCTGGCCCTCCTATCTTCTACTGCCTCCCGGAGTTGTGTCAAATTCATGTTGGTCACTTCGATGACACTGTCCAACTATCTCCTCCTCTGTCGTCCCCTTCTCACTGCTGGTCCTATAAGAGGCAAAACATTAGAAGGAGGAGGTGTAAACAAGTCTAAGAAAACCTCAAGAAGAACAGAAAGGCAGGGTTTCGAAAAGAAGTCTGAATGGGGTTGTTGTTGCTTAGTCATTAAGTCGTGTCCGACTCTTCGTGACCCCGTGGACCAGAGCACGCCTGGCCCTCCTATCTTCTACTGCCTCCCGGAGTTGTGTCAAATTCATGTTGGTCACTTCGATGACACTGTCCAACTATCTCCTCCTCTGTCGTCCCCTTCTCCTCTTGCCCTCACACTTTCCCAACATCAGGGTCTTTTCCAGGGAGTCTTCTCTTCTCATGGGATGGCCAAAGTAATGGAGCCTTGCTTCAGGATCTGTCCTTCCAGTGTGCACTCAGGGTTGATTTTCTTAAAAATGGATAGGTCTGTTCTCTTTTGCAGTCCAGGGGACTCTCAAGAGTCTCTTCCAGCACCATTGAATGGGGACAGGTCCTCAAAAAAACAGACCAGTGACCTGGATTGAGCATGTTCAGTAACCAATGTTGACTGATGGTCAGGGAGAGGAAAAAAGGGTCTTTTCCAGGGAGTCTTCTCTTCTCATGGGATGGCCAAAGTAATGGAGCCTTGCTTCAGGATCTGTCCTTCCACTGAGCACTCAGGGTTGATTTTCTCAAAAATGGATAGGTTTGTTCTCTTTTGCAGTCCAGGGGACTCTCAAGAGTCTCTTCCAGCACCATTGAATGGGGACAGGTCCTCAAAAAAACAGACCAGTGACCTGGATTGAGCATGTTCAGTAACCAATGTTGACTGATGGTCAGGGAGAGGAAAAAAGGACAGAAGACTAGAAAATGGAAAGGAGCGTTCTTGATAGGGGTGCGGTTGACTGGAACCAGGAAAAAGTGTTTTGTTTCAGCTCTCTGACTTGGGTAGGCAGTAAGCAGATTTCAAACAAATACTTCCACTGTCAATAAAAACAACAGCAGAAAAAAAGAGTACTGTAATCAGTGAGAAAGCAGTAGCAAAAGAGACCATGTTAGCAAGCTGTCTGAATGTTCAGTAACCAATGTTGACTGATGGTCAGGGAGAGGAAAAAAGGACAGAAGACTAGAAAATGGAAAGGAGCATTCTTGATAGGGGTGCGGTTGACTGAAACCAGGAAAAAGTGTTTTGTTTCAAGAAAGCCTTTGTTAATGAAAAGGTTGTAGTATCTTTGGCTTTCTCCCTTGCTCCCCCTGAAATGCCCCCTTAAGTGCAGTGGTTCCCAACCTTGAGTCTCCAGCTGTTTTTGGACCACAACTCCCAGAAATCTTTGCCAGTACAGCTAATGGGGAAGGCGCTGCTGGGAGTTATCATGCAAGAAGACCTGGGGATTCAGGGTTGGGAGCCAAAAGGTTGTAGTATCTTTGGCTTTCTCCCCTGCTCCCCCTGAAATGCTCCCTTTCTTCTAGTGCGGTGGTTCCCAACCTTGAGTCTCCAGCTGTTTTTGGACCACAACTCCCAGAAATCTTTGCCAGTACAGCTAATGGGGAAGGCGCTGCTGAGAGTTATCATGCAAGAAGACGTGGGGATTCAAGGTTGGGAGCCGATGCTCTAGTGGGTTCAAGGTGGTGTATGCAGTTCTCTTCCTCCCCCACTTGAACCTTGCAGCTGACTTGCAGAGAAAGAGTGAGTTGCACAAGGTCATCCAAACAGTTTAAGAGATCAGTAGAGGTTAAAACTTGGATTCCACCACCACCACCGGCAGCCCTGATCCATTGATAAGTCGGGAGGTCAGTTTCACATCCATTCTACCTTCCGGGGGGTTCTTCTCCTCCCATCCTTGGTGGCTGTCCAGGAAGCGTCTTTTTATAAAGAAATACACAGAGAAAGTGCACTTTATTTAAAACAGTAATGAGATGTCTACAAGTGTGATTTCCCTTCTAAAACAAAACAGATTTTCCCATGCACTTTGTTTTAAAACCGCGTTGGCTGAAAAAAGAAAAAAAAATCTAGGGGCCAGTTTTCTGCTCCAATAATGCCCTGTTGGTTGCATAGACAGCCCAAAGTGCCAGGGGGGAAAACGAGAATGTTTAGAAGTCTCTTCTGTTTATGGAAAATGAGGATTGTACTTAATATTAAATGTTATGAGGGGTGCAGTCTATTAAAAAGTGCATTGATGCACCTGGAAAAACAGGAGCATCGGTTTTTCTGTCTTTGTTAGAGGGGAAAAGAAAGACCAGGGAGGGTGCAAAATAAATCTTGCCCATCCCTGTTGCAATGGGACCAGCATTTGAGGCTCAACACCTCCTGTTTGTTAGACTGCTCTGTTCAAGGCTAAAATCCAGATAAGACTTCAGCGGAAACAGACTGTGAAGGAGATGCAAGCATAGCTTGTAGATGCTACTGTTAAAGCCAATGCATTACCGTAACTTTAATCCGAAATTAATTTTGTTAAGGTTAATTGTGTTCACCTTCAACTAATTTTTGGAATTCGTTATATTGATCAATGCCAATTATTTAAAAATGGTGGAGACACCGAATTTATGCTCCTCCCAGTAATAAAGTCAAGTAACAGAAGGCATTTACCTGAAAACCTGTGGGATGATGACTTTTAAAAACAACTTTTAAAAGTTATCATAAATTATAGTTACAAATTAGTTTGAACAAATGAATTCCGAGCAGCTCTGGGAGATTCGTCAAGAGGCCCTAGTTGAGTGAATGAAGTAAGATGTTTATGATAGTAATGAAAACAAAACTGAAGGGTTTTCCCAGATTGTCTGTTTACGGGAAAGTTTTTTCTAAGGCCCATCCTGCTTTTTCACCTCACTTGGACTGAGGTGAAGAATGGATTAGCTGGGCATCAGACTCAAAGAAGAAGTTGTTAAAATATTAGAGCACCTTCCTTTGGCTAATATTAAAGTGCAACTGGGACGCAGGAAACAAGGTTGAAGGTCTGATTATGCTTTGAAACACTGGCATGATTGGGTTTTTTAAATAAAAAAGTAACCTTTTTATTAAAAAAAAGAAAAGAAAAGAAAGAAACTCAACCTGAAATAGAGAGGTTCTGTGCGCATGCCCACTGGATCAACCCTCATTTCTTCTCCTACCCCCAAACTTGATTTTTTTTTTCATAAAATTCCCTTCCCTAGCCATATGATGATTTGAAACAAGGGGGAGATTCAGGAAGGGGGGGAAGCTTAATTACATACCATGGGCCCCACTCCTGTTCATTCCTCCACAGAAGGTACAGTGCAATTTTAATCTAGCATATATAATTTAGGGACGTGGTGGCGCTGTGGGCTAAACCGCAGAAGCCTGTGCTGCAGGGTCAGAAGACCAGCAGTCGTAAGATCGAATCCACGCGACGGAGTGAGCTCCCGTCGCTTGTCCCAGCTCCCGCCAACCTAGTGGTTCGAAAGCATGCAAATGCGAGTAGATTAATAGGGACCACCTTAGTGGGAAGGTAACAGCATTCCGTGTCTAAGTCGCACTGGCCATGTGACCACCGAAGATTGTCTTCGGAGAAAAAACGCTGGCTCTATGGCTTGGAAACGGGGATGAGCACCACCCCCCAGAGTCGAACACGACTGGACAAAAATTGTCAAGGGGAACCTTTACCTTTAACCTTTATATATAATTTAATTTTCAATTGTTTTAGCCAGGGCATTGACATGCCAGTCTTCAGCTGCCTAGGACTCCCTAAAATCCAGAGCCTTTTTGTGAATTTCACCTTCAGTTGCCAGGTCAAAAATGCAGAGAGCATTCTTGAGATTTAGAGGAACTCCTAATTGGGACTTTTTTTGCATTTCCTGCGACCCTGACCGAATGAAAAAGCTGCATTGACTAGAGCATAATTTGATTTAAAATTGACTCTCTTCCATTTTCTGGTTCACATTCAGACTGGACACATCTGGTGCTCAAAGAGGTTCTTTGCATTGCTGGTGAAGGATTTTCTTTCTTTAAATGAGAGATGGCTAGCGTGTCTGGAGCAGTTATTGTGGGGCTGGAAAAAATATTTCAGATTCTTAAGACACCAGCGTCTGGCTCTTGGGAAGCGGCCTTCATAAGTCCTGTGGCAATTCCCCACCCTAAGGTTGATCCTGCAGAGGATCTGAACAACCAGAATGGGAACAGCCCACAAGTATGGGGGAGGGTGGGGAGAAGAAAGAACTTCTTATTTTGAGCTCGTTGCATTTTGGAATGCATCGGGCCCTTCTTAAGAGGCACGGTACATAAAATAAGCATATATAAATAGTAATGGGATTAAAATATCCAGAAATGGGAGTTAAAATATTTAAAGCTGGATATATGTGTATATGTACAATTTATAAATGCTAATGAACCAGTGGGAAAGACATACAAGAACAATCCCACCATGTAATTTGATCATTCTGATAAGATCTGTTTAAAAAGGGGAAAGGAAAAAATAAAGACCCCATGCTAGCTGCAATTATAGCCACAGGACCTGTTAGAAAAACCTGAATAGTAAGATTTACATTAAGTCAGCAAGAGCACTTAAGTCAGCTTCCTCCAGACTCATTACATTGTAGGGTCGCTCATCCTCAGTCAAGGCTCAAGTGGATAAACATTTAATTAAACACATCTAATGGGGGCCTGAGTTTAGGAGAGGATGGGGCAAGGAGCTCATGAGTTGTGAAATTGACCAGCATTGAGAAGGCGCAGTTGAAATTGACAAGAGGAGCTGCAAAGCAGTTCAGAGTTCCTGCTGATCCCTCTCAGTTCCCACCCCCTGCCCTCTTAGTCTAGGAGACTGCTGGCATTCAGGTCTCAGTATAGTGCAAGGATGGGACAGGGGGGCATAGAGTGGCGATCTTTTTTCTCTCTGGCAATGTACATCTTCCAGTCCCCCCAGCTTCCTAATTCATGTGGCCGACCATATGTCTATGTACAGATGTCTTTGATGTCCCACTGCATATAAGAATGGATGCAGCAGCACCCCTACCTATCCTGTATCTCACTTGCCATTTGGACACTCAGAGGGAGTGTTGTTCTCTGATGGCTAAGAGTAGTTTGGCTCACTTTCTCTGGAGCTCTTCTCTTATAACACTGGTGCCTTATTGACTAATCGTATTGTAATGACTTTACACAATAAAAATGAATGGCTCGATGTCAGGGTTGCCAGTGGGTTGTACCCAGACTGCTGGTGGCACATAGCGACATTCTAGGTGGATTGCAAGATTTTCATGACACTTAGTAATAATTCATTGGCCAGATTTACTGGTGATTTATCCTTGTGTAAGGGAGATGGTGAAGCTGGCTGGATAGCTCAGTGGTTTAGGTATCTGAGAGTTTGATTCCTTATTAAACCTCTTGGGAGAAGAAACAGCCTGCATAGCCTTGGGCAAGCTGCATAGTCTCAAGGCAGCCCCAGAAGAAGGGTATGGGAAATCACTTCTGTGTATTCTGTACCTTGAAAACTCTGAGAAGGGTCTCCTTACGCTGGAAGTAACTTGACAGCCAATTGTAAAAGGGAAGTTGTGTGAGTTGCAAGGGCCAGATTGCTAGTCATGAACCCACTGTGGCTGTATTCCTGGGTGAATGACTAATCTTAGCCAGCATCTCTCTCCCTTAATGCCCCTGTTCTTATACCTGTATGATCTGCCATCCTCTACCATTTATCTACAGGTGTATCTTTTCTCCCAGTCTCTGGGAGAGAAGGCAGTAAGAAACTTGCATCTGGCCTGTCGCTCTCTTTTTTTTTTGGCCAGGCCTACCTCAAAGGACTGTTGGTTTGGGGAAGGAGGGCAGGAGAGAACCACCTCGACCTCCTTGAAGGAAAAGTGGGCTATAAATGTAACTAAGAAATACACCACCACCCCTAACTAATCCATGTGGTACCTTAACATGTGGTATCTCAATGCAGGTATTACAACAAGCTTCTGAGAAGCTTATTGGAATGTGACGAAGAGACGGTGGGGATCATAAAGGACAGCTTGATCTCCAAAATCGGACCCAACATGGCCAGCCTTTTCCACCTCCTCCAGACAGACCACTGTGCTCAGATTCATCCGAGAGCAGACTTCAGCCGGAGACGTATCACCGAGCCGCAGAAGTTAAACATCTATTTCAGGAGCCTCCGGGGGGAGGAGCCGGCTCCGTCTCTTACAAAACGTCCTTCTTCAGAAACTGTCTAGTGTTCCGTGAAAGAGTAGGGAATCCGAGCTCTACCAAAGTAGGAAATTATTCCACCCACCCACCCAACCCCCTGCACCTTCACATTTGCTAGACACCAGAAATGTACTGTAACTGATTTTGAAAGTACGCTGAGCCAATCTACACATCCGAGGGAAACAAAACTAAAGCATGTAGGATAGGCTTGCTGGGACTGTATCACGGAGATTATACCACTTCAGCCGGCAGCTGGGGGAACCAGGTAATGACGTGATCCTGTTTAACAACAGGCGCACTTAGCTAAGGATATATATTATAAAACCCAGGATATCTAAGCGATCTCCACTAGAAGGACATTCTTCGGTGACATCAATGATGGGGTGGTTTTTGAACACTCTTTTTTCTTCCATCGGCCATGCAATCCTCTCTATGAAGTGGTACAGTTCAAGGAAGTCTATACCACATGCTTGCTGGGGATGAATGTATAGACTGGTCCTTGGAAACCGATTTTAGAGAAGCTTTGTTTCCCATTTTGGCGTGTCCCTGCCCCTCTTCGAACAAGCTGCATGGAATGAAATCTCTGGTTAAGGAGGGGGATCCCTTCATGCCCCGTCTTCCTGGCATGAAAGCCTCCCCTCCACGGTTTCTCGGTCTCTCCTCCCTCCCAAGAAATCCAGTGAACCTGCAGCTTTCCATGAAAGCAATCTGTAACAGCATTTCTTCACCAAACAACAACCTTTCTCTATACTGCAGCTCAAACACCTTTGTGATGTGACAAGGGCAGAAACATCTGGTGTAGACCTAGTTCTGCTAGTAGTCAGTAGGGAGACTGATCACGATGGCAGGTCCCAAGAAAATGCATCTGTTGCACATCATCTTGATGTCAGGGGAACTCATTACAAGTGGTAGGTGGACATCAAATATGAATGTCATATATAGACTTGGGGTCTTGGTGTAGTGATTTTAATTTTGCCCAGACTGAGATTCTCCTAAATATCTGTTGCAGACCAAAACAGACATAGCACGGTAAAATGAGACTATGATTTCATGATGGTCCCTGTAGTGTGTAGATCTTGCCCGCGCAAGGTCCAGATCTTTGAAAAGTTCCTTTTTAGGATGATGAGGTCTAGCATCCCTCACCCAGTGCAGCCACTGTCCCCGCTGAGTGGAGTATTCTGGGAGTGGCAAATCAGAAAGGAATTCTATTTTACAGAATACAAATGCAGGAGTAGGCAATACCTTTATAGAACCCCTAAAAATATCATCAGACAATATGCAAGCTTTTGTGGATCAGGACCACTTCGTCAGGCTTGTGACCAGATGTGGCCACACTGATACAAGCCTGATGAAGTAGTCTTGATCCATGAAAAGTCAGCTATTATATGATGATTTTTTTTGTATATGCACTCCTCACTTAACGACTGAGTTCCATTCTTATGACTAGGTCATAAAGCAAACTGATAAGCAAGGAGCAATAATAGTGTATAAAGGAGTAATACATCATGTGCTGTTGAGAAGGGGCATGACAAAGACAAAAGCATGGGTTTAAGAGGGTCGTAAAGGGTCATAAATCCAAGCAGTCTTTAAACAGGTAGGTTGTTAAGTGAGGGGTGCCTGTCATGGTCCATAAAGGTATGATCTACTCTTGCATTAGTATTTTGTATTGACCACACGGTTCTCTTTTATTTCAACTGTTTTACAGATGCTCCCCCTTCCATCCATCCATTTTGAAGGGAGACCATCTAGAACTGAGCCTAAATTTCTCAGAAGAGATTTATTGAAAATAAAAATTCCCAGCTGCTTCCCCCTTCCTTCCACTTGGCCACATATTCTCCTCAGAAGCCCCGTTTTGGCAGTAGCTGCCATCCTCCCACCCACCCACCGCCCACACACAAAATACTCTGGAATATTGCTGTATCAAGGGTTCTGTGGGGTAGCAAAATACTACTAGGGGTGTCACCCCCAATTGTTGCTCCTTCACAGCTCCTCCTTTTGACCACGGTACTCTCTTTGGTAGGATTAAGTACGTCCGAGAGGAACCTTCCAGAATCTGGTGCCCTGCAGAGGGGATGTGCTTCCATTAAGTCATGCTGGTGAGGAGGATGGGAGCTGTAGTCAAACCCATCTGAAGGGCACCAACCAGGTTGGTTGGGGGGGGAAGCAACCCTCTCATCCGTAGGTGACTGGCTTGTGGGAGGTTCATGCAAGGTTTCAGAAGAAGCGAAATTCCCGTATGTACTGTATCTCCATTCAAAGCCACTTAAGGAATCTTGAGCAAAAAAAGGGAAGCAAAAATAAATGAGAACAGCATCTCTGGCCTTGCTCTGTGGTATGCACAGTGCAATCTCGTGTGCTGTGCATGATTTCCAGCAGGTGGTGGTGGGTTTTTGGTGTTTTTTTTTAAGCAGCATAGCATAACTTTGTAGCTTATGCATCAAATCCGCTAACTTCAGCATTAGATTGTTTGTTGTGTTTTCCTGGACAACGGTAGCTTTAGTTTAAAAAAAGAAAATAACTCTTTCCCTTAATAGCATGATTAAGGTATGCGTGAGGAACCCGCACAATGTGTGATTGGTTTCCACCTCTCATCCTTTCTGACAGTGATTTCTGCTGGATGGGGAATATGGGTGTGGTTAAGCCAAAGCACAGAGGCCGCCCTTGCCTACAAGGAACCAACCCCATTGAACACACAGTGGCGTTGATTTTGGAGTAAAGCATGTTCTGGGCTGGGTGTGAATGCAGCCCCACTTTAGAAGGTGATGTTAACCTTTTAGAAGGACAGGGGGTTGAAGAAGACAGCTCTTTTGACAGTGATCCGATGCCTTACCCTTACAGCCAGCTGGGACCAACAGCTCAATATGAGAATAATAAGATATGGCTGCATAAAATGGAGCCATGCATGCTATGTCTTTTAGTGATGTTGGACTGGAACTCCCAGAGTCTCTAACCATTGGCTGTACTGGTCAGGGCTGATGGAAGTGACCTCATGCCATGCCAGAAACAGGTTATCCACTGATAGCCTATTGTTAGAGTGAGGCCACCGTGGCCAGTCTAGGCACTGGGTCCATTCCTTTGCTTTTCCTCCCACCTCTTACCTTAATGGATGATATCCACCTGCTTTTGCAAAATCCAAGCAACCAAACCCCCAAAAAATGTTTCTGCTGGTTTTCTTAAAATGCTGTTTGGGAAGCTGATGGGAGGGGAGCATTTCTGTGGCCTAAAAGTAGTTGCAATATCCAACTGAAGGTCACTTTAACTATATATGCACACTGGGTTTGATCAGTGGTTCCCAGTCTTGGTTCCCCAGATGTTCTTGGATTAAAAGTCCCACTAGCTTTTACCACTAGCTGTGCTGGCCAGGATTTCTGGGAGATGTAGTCCACAAACATCTGGGGATCCGAAGTTGGGAACCACTGCCCTGGACTATGTTAAGCCCAGTTTCATGCCCATGTTAATCAATGGGATTAAAGAGTCATAGTTTAGTCTTCAGTTCCCATTCATTTCAGTGGCAGCCAGTTTCAACCCACTTCAGCAATTCTGTTTACACTTGATTCGGAATGTGTCTGACTGAACTCAGTAAGACTTACTTCTGTGTGAGCACATACAAAAAGCCACTGTTGGTCTGGTTTTGCAGCCGCTGAATAGCAATCGCTGATTTTTATTGAAGATTTGAGACCATCAAAGTTAAACTCTGCAGACTGACAAACTGCTCATTATACATGGGATGTTATTAGAAGTGGGAACTCCTTAAGTGCTGGAAACATCTGACTGTTACCATAGTTGCTCTTCATACCTCCCATCATTTGTAAATTAGCTCAGTGTGCACGTGAATATTTGATGGGTTATCTGGCCATACGGGTCAACTTCGTTTGAAAGTCTGACTGCTGAACCCCAGACGATATGATTATTTGATGGGTTATCTGGCCATACGGGTCGACTTCGTTTGAAAGTCTTGACTGCTGAACCCCAAACTATACGATATAGATAACCTATCATTAGAGCTGAAATCACATCCATGTTCCAGAGATGTGATTCAGGAAGAGGTTCGTTTACAAGAAACCAGACTTGCACCGTGAAAAAATGTTCTTGTGTCCTGGAAATCCATTAGAAAGCATAGCAAGCGAATTAGCAGACTATAGGAAATGAGAAGGTCTTGTTGTGTTGAAAATCACACCTGAAGAACCCCTTAAAGTATTCCCACTTCTAATAGTAGGTTGTAACATATGGTTTGTCTCTTCCCCAATCATGAACATCTGTCAGAACCACATCTCTGGACTAGTAACCAAGTTAAACTTCTAATGACATGTTGGTGATGTATTATAATCTGGCTCTCAGCGTGTGCACTTTAAGAAAAAAAAGAGTCAAAGAAGGGATCTGAGTGGGCACTTTAGATATTGCACTTTCCAAATAATGATTTTGCTGCAGTTAGGTTACCATTCAGCCAATAATGAGAAATCGTGCGCATACCACGCCTTACCCAAGCGGTTACAAAAGCGTCAAGGACTGAATGGCTACCGGCTGCCAGTTAGTTAAAGACTAGCAGAAGGAAACCTGGGAACCTCGTGAAAGGACAATACCACTTAGGGAAAACTATAAAAAGCAATAGAATGTCTAACCACAAAGCCTTTAAGCCGTCACTTTTTTGCTTTTATATTTCAAGCCAGGGGCAGCGGGACCATCAGTCTTTGCTGTCTTCTACTTAAATGAATGTAGCCCTAGGAAATGCTTTTATAGGATTACATGCCTCAAAAGAAAATGAAATTGCTAATGGTAGGATTTTCTTTTCTTTTTAATACTCTGTATTGTGCAGTCAGGTTGCAGAATGTAGACACTTTTCAGGTGATCTAATTTCTGTTCTTCTCCCCCCTCTGCATCCTTTCTAAAATGCTTGAAAATTAATTTTGATAGGAGTGTGAAGGCATTTAGGACTCTGCCTTATACTGAAATAGGCAATTGATTCATCATTCCCAGTAGAATTAGTGTTGGCTAGCACCAGCTTTCTAGATCTCCTCCTTTGCTCTTTCTAGAGATCTCTGGTAAGTTCACATCCCTGGCCTGACCCTGGTTAGTTTTCAGAATCAGATTGAGAGCATTATACTCAGGGTGGTGTGTTGGTGGTTGCTCTGTCTCTTTGAGAGTCCTTGTGGGAGCATCTTATGAAAGTGAACTTAAAGCTGGGATTGCTCAATAAAGTTGGTGTGGGAGCTTAATAGAACATAGAGCTCAAACATGTGCTGGATGTTAAGGCTCAGGAACCACCTCTTCGGCACCCGGATCCCACCATATTATAGGATCTGCCTTTGCGTGTCATGATTTCCCCGATTCTTCCAAATTCCTGAAATGCCTGTGTTGATTAATGGAATTTAGAGAATGCAAAATGTTGGCAACGAACAAGACACTTTTCATTCAGCGGAGGACTTGAATTTCTGACTTGAGGACAAGCACTATAGAAGTTCGTTCCACTGGTGAAGGGAGGACTGTGACACTGGAGGAGATAGCCTAGGAAGCATGGCTTCGTGGGCTGCAGGCTAATCTGAGGTGGACAAAGCAAGGTCTTTCCAAAGTTGTTCGGCTGCAGCTTCCGGCATCTCTCAATATTGCCTGTGCTGACTGGGGTTGATGGATGCTGTAAGGCCATCGTTGCTGACCCCTGCTTGTTCCCTGTCTCAGTTTATAATCTAAGTTTTGGGCAGACAATTAAATAACCCCACCACCCTGTGTCTTCGTTGCAGATGACCCTTATTTTTCATTCCTTAGAAGTGAATGTTGTGAGAGGATCTGTTTGCTTGCAGGGAGCAAGGAAACGGGAAAGTATCTATGGAGTGGGTGGTTCCATTCCTTATACCGGAGTCCTACAAAGGGATTCAGTAATCTATTAAGTAAACAAAAGAGGAGGGTGCCTTTATTTTTATGTCCTTCTCTCTCCTTATGTGGAGAGTGATCGCCTGAGAAGGATAACCTTCATTGGTCAAGAAGGCTTGCTTATTCAGCGTATCATCTCACTCTCAGTGTGATCGTAGATTGGCAAATCTGGGGGGTTTTTTGTGGTGTTTGGTTTCTAAAATATCCCAGCCAGAGTGGTTTCTGGAAGTTGTAGTTGCCCTCTCTTCCCCCACCCACCCACCAAAAAGATCTCTTCCCGATTTCTGGCAATCAAGAGTGCTGGGTCAGCAACATTGTGATGTCTGAGATTTCAGGCCCCAAACTTGAGAGGGTGGGCAGGAGCTTGCAATGAAACAGAGAATGGATGGAATGACTTTGTGGCTCATTCTTGGTAGAGACGGGGCCAAGGGTAAAGGCTAACTAGTCAGGTAATATGAGAACGCAGAGCTAGGGGAAAAGTTGTGGTTTTTTTTGGCGCCCTAGTAGTGTCCTGGTGCCAGGTGAAGAGATGCCTCAAATTATTTCCTCCTTTAGGAAAGATCCCCCTGAAGGATCTTCTTCTGGCACTTATCAATTTGTAGTGTCTCCATGCCTGGAGCCCTGGCCAGGGGTGGCTTGTGAATGATGATGGAGGAGTGCCTTCCACTTGGACATGATGATCCATCTACATCCCTGGGAAAAGAAAGTAGCCTCTTGAGACTTCGCCTGGGAAATGATGGAAGGGATGCAGATGGCAGGCTGTCAGCTTTAGTTGTTTAAAGCATGTAAATGCCAGTACAGAGCGGCTGTTGTCTTGTTGGAAAAGACAAGAATCCTTAAAAGAAGATACCCAGGGGGTAAGGCAGGAAAAATAAGAGCCAACTCTGTAGAAGACAATACAAGGAAAGTGACATGCCTTCTGTTGATGGCTAGATCTCTAATTTAGATCTAACACGTTTTATGAATGTGTGGTTCATTAGTGCCACAACTACTACAATAAGTCTGTAGAATGGTAGGAAATGGCGGTCATCATGTAAAACCCTGGCAAAGGTTCATTCATCACTCTTAAATCTGTTTGGCCTTACAATCTTGAAGAGTGGGACTTCTCTTCCAAGAAAACAAGATGCATGATTTCATTGTGATTTCCCCCCCCCCCGCACTTTAGATAATTTGTGCCATTTCTATACATACACACACAGACATATATATACATATATATATATATAAAGTATGTATTTATAATTTAAATCTTTTGCCAAATACTGGAATAAACAATGAGCATATCTGGAATATGTCATTATTTATTTATTAAACTGCGTTTTCTTTTTTTAGATAAAGAAAATAACTCCATATGTGCATAGAAAAGATTATTTGGGACTTATTGTGGCAAACAAAAAAGAAAGGAAAAAAAGATGCAAGTAATTTTCTCTGCTTATTTTTATAATTAAAAGGAAAGATGCATAACCCTACAAAGCCTATGGTGGATTCCTTCTTGGAGAAAATTAAAAAGAAAGAATAGCTCATATTAAGTGTCTGTCTTTTTATTAACCTCCTCAAAATAAAAATAGAGATAAATATATCCAGTAAGCTTGATCTCCCACATGAACCTTGGAATCTAACAAAAGGACAGAATGTATGTTCTGAAACCAGGACATATATTTGAGATCACGTGCCGGGCAGTATCATCTGGATCAGGGATGATGAATTCCAGGTGCTGTGAGCCTGTAGCAATTGCTAGGCCAACCCTCTGGGATTCATTGGATGACCTTGTGTCTTTCCTTCTGGCATCATTGTTCTGTGGATGCCCAGATTCTTCACTTAATCTAAAAAAAAAAAAAAGAGAGAGAGAGAGATGCCTCCCCTTATCCTTTGGCCCAAGCTATACACAGTTAACACATCATCAGAAGCGGTGCTCCTTTATATGATAAAAGACCTCTGGTTGTTGTAGCTAGGGATGTCGTTTGGATTTCTCAGTCTCCCAGCACCAAGGATTCTCCAATAATTCCCCAGGCAACATTCTGGGAGTTCTCGTTCACAGGTCTGTCCACACTTCCAGATGCCTATGGACTAGAATTCCCAGAATTCTTCCCAAGGAGTTTTTGGAGGATTCTGGGAACTGGAGTCGGAAGATACAAATGGCGCATCCGTAGTTGTAACAGGAGCTTGACTCACTCTGCATGTTGGAATATTTCATGGTTACTCATTGGGAGGTAAGCACCGGTCTTCGTATGTAATTGCTCATGGAAAGAACTGTGTGTCAGAAGGGAAAATGGAAGAGCAGAAAGAAAATAATGCATTTCCTTTGCTGGGTGCTCTGGCTGTTAGCTACTGGCAGCAGGAGTTTGAAGCTACATATGCAGCCATTGTCCTGCAACCTGCCCCATTTTACTTTACACACACAAACACACAAACAACTTTAACAACTTCACTGAAAGTTTTCTCTTGGGATGAAAAAAGCTGATCTGTCTGAGGCCGACATCTGAGTTCAGA